TGTGTGTGTGTATCTGTGTCTCTGTGTCTGTATGTGCGTGTGTGTATCTGTGTCTCTGTGTGTGTGTGTGTGTGGGGTGTGTGCGTGCGTGCGTGCGTGTGTGTGTGTGTCTGTGTGTGTGGGGGGTGTGTGTCTCGCGTGCGTGCGTGCGTGTGTGTGTGTGTCTGTGTGTGTGGGGTGTGTGTGTCTCTCTCTCTCTCTCTCTGTGTGTGTTGTGTGTGTCGTGTGTGTTTCAGGTATCGGCGACTGCTGAGGAAGCCTCTGTTTTTCCCTGATGAAGCCACAGTCGACACGGAGCCGCTGTTTGAAACGATGGAAGGAAAGATGGGCGAGTTCATTGCTGAGTTGCGGCAGCACACCGACACACTCCTCAGCACCGTCTGTGAGTCTGAGACCCGCTCGTACAGACTCTTTTCATTAGACACAGTTCCCAGGCTGTTCTAGTCTTATATATGAATGAACACCGGAGACGTCTCTCCGTCTCACACAGCACAATACAAACAGTGTGACTCAAACACGCTGTGCCTGTCGAGTGAGAGAACGCTAGCAAGTGTCTGAAGATGAAGTCTCGGGTTCTGCTTCCTAATAAAGTGAATATCTGACCGGGATTGTTATACGTACAGCCGGCGTCTCGGCTTTGTCTTCAATTATCTTCAAGTCTCAAGTTCTGGCGTCTGGAACTTCCCGACCCTCGAGATTTTTATATTAATGTCCGTACGGTCTTGTCATGTTTATTTAAAATGTAAAAACGTGGTCTTTCTGGTGAAAACGACTGCCATTTAAACCCCACAACGCCAATCACCAACCCATGCACTGAACCACGTCCCGCACTACTAGCTTTTCTTTTCTGATCATCTGTTACACTTGTGTGTACGTCACAGTACAGAAGAAAACATGCATCGTTACTTCAGCTGCGTCACAGCTTTAAGCTCGTGTCCTCGCTGCATGTGTTGTGTGATGCTAGTGTCCCGATGCAGCTCAGCAAAACGCCGTTAGCTCTTCAGACATTCACCAAAAATAACTCCTAGCAGGTGGAAGCAGGGCTTATTTGTCAGAGGAAGAGAAACTCAACCGAACTGGAGGTTTTTAATGCCGTTTGCCAATTTAGTTTTTCTGTGAAAATGAGATCTGAACATCCAGCCTTGAGCGTTAAGAGCGTCTTATTTTCTTTCTTTCATTCTTGAAGGTGAATTTGAGGGAAGAGATGCTGAGGAGGAGGAGGAGGATGAAGATGATGAAGAGGAGGATGAAGATGAGGAAGACGAGGAGGAGGGTGAGGAGGAGATGAGGAGTGAGGAAGAAGAGCAGCAGAACCTCACTGACTCTGGAGATGAAGAATATTCACCGGAGGAGGAAGAGGATGAGGAAGACTAGCAGAAGAGGATCTGCTCTTGAGCTCCTGGAGCCGAAGTCTTCATCTGAAGCAGAACGAGCCGTGTCTCCTGAGATCTCACAGACAGAGTTCATGATGCACGGCACTGTGTGAGAGTCTGCGTTCATTCCTGGATAAAGAAGGGTTTAAACAGACACCGATTGTTCAATTACACAAAATATCACGTCCACGAAGTGACTCTGTGTCACACTCGAGATTAACCTGAGGATGAGAACGGTTTTCTGTGATGTGAACAGACTCTATAACACTATTTATTTGATCGAGGGGGGATAATAATAACAATAATCATTCATTAATCAATTAAACAATCCATTCAGGCATGTTTAAAGCTCAGGGTACATTAATGTCAGTTTGGGACGGGCTCCATTTGCACTTTTCCCCAAGCTCCAGTATATTCAGCTTTTTCTGTCAAGATGATGATGATGGGAGGGAAAAAAGAAGAAATTGTGCTGGAAAATATATAATAAAATATAGTTTCATAACTTACAAAAATCAACCGTTTGGTGGCCAAATCATTTATTATCTTTATTTTGTGTTTTTATTAACATCTAAATATCTGCAAAGACTCAAGCAAAAAACAAAAAAAAGGATTGCTTTGAGTTTAAGCGAAATACAAGAATATGAAACAAAAGCAACGATTCAAACCCAGAGCTGGTGCTCGCACTTCATGAATATAAGAACACAGAAATACAGCACTAACACAGGCTAGATACACAATAAATGAAGAAGAAAACACAAGCTCATAAAGAAGATGAAGAAAAGCTGACAAACGTAGCATGCCTTTTATTCAGTTTTAAGTCCTGAATATATTTATTTATCCTGAATATATTCTCCAAAATATGAATAACCTCTCATCTGAGGTACAGTAATAAGCTGGGAAATATTTAGAGCAGTTTTTATCGTCTCTGTATTCAGTCATCTTCTTCTGGGAGGATAATAACCTCATGCTCCACACTAATAAACTATAACAGATTACATACAGTCCGAGACACAGCTTTGAGTTCACTTGTAAAGTTAAATAAAAGCCCAAATGCAATGTGTTTAATGAGTTTGTAAACACTATCACACACATTATAGAAGCGCGTTTATCAAATACGCGAGTAAGGTTTCAGCTTCACTAATATGCATTAATCTCAATAACAACTGCTGCAACTTCAACATCGTCTCTCTCTGTGAGCGCGTGTGTGGCTCTAAAAAGAGCCGTTGGGTTCGCGCTGGAAGGCGGTTATCCTCCGAAGCCGTACAAGGTGCGTCCCTGGCGCTTCAGCGCGTACACCACGTCCATGGCGGTGACGGTCTTTCTCTTGGCGTGCTCGGTGTAGGTGACGGCGTCGCGGATCACGTTCTCCAGGAACACCTTCAGCACACCGCGGGTCTCCTCGTAGATCAGCCCGGAGATGCGCTTGACGCCGCCGCGGCGCGCCAGACGACGGATAGCGGGTTTGGTGATGCCCTGGATGTTATCCCGCAGCACTTTACGGTGCCGCTTAGCGCCGCCTTTCCCGAGTCCTTTCCCGCCTTTGCCTCTTCCAGACATGCTGCAGATGCTGCTCGCTTCAGTCCAGCGACGAACACGAATAACACACGAGAGCTCCAGGAGGCCGTTTACAGCTGCTTACAGGACCTAAGGGAAACCAGCGCGTGTCACACGGCGCCCCTCCCCCGCTAGCTAGAGCAGGACACAATGAGGTTTCATCCAAACCTGATCTAACGACGTCTGTCCCGTGTTTCAGATTAAAACCCATGTTTTAAAACATCAGTTTGACACAGAAGATTTGTAAGATCATATCTACATATTTACATTCGTCTAGAGCTGCGCTTCTACCATGTTTTTACTCAGAGATGCTAATCAGCACGTGGCTAGCTAGCACAGTTCTGAGCATTGTACACATATATAAACTGTAGGATATGAAACACAGAAAGGGTACTTCATTGTAGAAACATGTGTTAGGTAGTGACTTTCCTTAACGTCACACTTAACTTTTGAGCACATTTCTCTCTAAATGATGAGACCAATCTACTCCGTCTGTAGCTGAGAGAGAAAGAGGAATAATTCCTCATTAATGCAGAGCTGTGCTTAAAATCACTCTCAGTCAATTAACTAAAACTAAAACACATGAAAATGAAAAAAAAAATACTTGAAAATACAGGGCACAATTTTATTTAATAATTTAACAAAGAATATATGTATATATAAATATCAAAAATAAATTTAAAAACAATGGAATAAAATAGAAAAAGTATTTAAATATAATTTTCATAAGTAGAAATGTAGGGTTCAGGACAACCACCTCACTATTGAAAGCACCCTAAAATATTTTAGATATTGTGGGTTTCAATAAAAGAATATTTCTTATCTAAGACTTGAACGCATTTTAAAAAAGTTAAGACGCAAGACCAAATTTACTAAACTTGTGAGCACTGTACTACACTGACTGTACTCGCTACTCGTTATATTGAGCGTTCCAGCAGAAACTCTCTGGTTCAGTGTGATTGTGTGGCTCTGAAAAGAGCCTTTGGGGGTCCTGCGCTGCTGCAGCGGCGGGTTAAGCGCGCTCTCCGCGGATGCGGCGGGCCAGCTGGATGTCTTTGGGCATGATGGTGACTCTCTTGGCGTGGATGGCGCACAGGTTGGTGTCCTCAAACAGACCGACCAGATAAGCCTCGCTGGCCTCCTGCAGGGCCATGACAGCGGAGCTCTGGAAGCGCAGGTCCGTCTTGAAGTCCTGAGCGATCTCTCGCACCAGACGCTGGAAAGGCAGTTTGCGGATCAGCAGCTCGGTTGACTTCTGATAGCGGCGGGTCTCTCGGAGAGCCACGGTCCCGGGCCTGTAACGGTGGGGCTTCTTGACGCCGCCGGTGGCCGGGGCGCTCTTCCGGGCGGCTTTAGTAGCGAGCTGCTTCCTCGGGGCTTTGCCGCCGGTGGACTTACGAGCCGTCTGCTTGGTTCTTGCCATCGCTGAGATCTACTTCTGTCTCTGCTCTGCGTGAGTAGAATATGCTGCTGTATGCTATGCGTCTGTTTTTAAAGCATCTTACAGCCACAGCTTATGACGTCATAAAGGCGCAGAGGCTTGTGATTGGCTGATGTGTGACGTCTGAGCTTGACTGTTAGCTGTCCACTGTCAAGTGGACAGAAGGACATGTCCTTGTGTGTGTGTGTGTGTGTGTGTCTGTGTGTGTGTGTGTGTGT